TCACCGACACTAGTCCTAATTTCTTTCATTTTGATTTAGTAATTGAGAACTTAAATTCTGTTAAGACCAATTCACACCACGTCTGCAGACACTGACAGTGGCAACAGACAAATTGGTTGCGTTTTGCCAGATCAGTGTGTATTACCCCGTTAGTGTTTAGTCGATGCTTGTTTTCACTAATTGGCATTTGTCAAATCTCGGAATGCCTGAGAAGTGACGTACTGTAATCTGGTGACTGTCAGCGTTGGTCTGCGTCTGTCGGTGAAGTGTGAATTGGCCTTCATATAGTCGGTTTAATTTTTTTATTGAATTCTTGATTCCGTTTGTTTTCTCCGCATCACAGAAATTGTAGGGCCCTAGTTAATCTATGACTAATACTAGAGTTATGCTTGGTGTACTTACTGTGTATTGCATTATAATAAAGCTGTAGTTCAAGGTATGCAACATTAGTAGTATTTAAATGTATAATTACACTGTAACAAGGACACCTTAAAGTGTAACCGAATATAGTTTTGACATTTCCATTCTTATATCATATTTTATTTTGATTTTATTTTATTTATATCATATTCTTATATCATACATAATTTTGTATAATCCAAATTCTTGCAAACATCATTCATTTTTGTCAGTCTGATCAAATAATGAGTCAAGAAAGAGATTGTGGTTGATTATTGCTTTCATTTTCTTTTTGTTATGAACGGCACATGCCGTATTCTATCCAGGTGTTCTGTGCATACAGAAAATCTGCAGTCTGTGCGCATTATGCATATCGTACACACAAATTACTGAAAGTCAGTCAGTTCATGTCGTATTAATGTGTGACTGATATTAAGATTCTCCAACATCCTTCATTGTCAGATGGTGGTTTTCAAGTATATTGAGGATAAAGACGTGTTCCAGAAGTTCTATGCCAAGATGCTGGCCAAAAGACTGGTGCACCAGAACAGTGCCAGCGACGACGCCGAGGCCAGCATGATCTCCAAACTGAAGGTGTATGCACTTGTTTAGTGAAGATGGCTCACTTTACTGCTCCTCTTTTATTTCTAATAGATGCTTAACACCGTTTTTTCTTCTGTCCACCCTCAGCAAGCATGTGGTTTCGAGTACACCTCCAAACTACAGCGCATGTTCCAGGACATCGGTGTCAGCAAAGACTTGAATGAGCAATTCAAAAAGCACCTTTCCAACTCTGAGCCTTTGGACTGTAAGTGCTCCACACTCCTCCTGTTTGTTCGTGTTTTTCATAATGTAGCATGCATGCGGTCATTACCGATGAATAAAATCCAGCTCCATCTGTCTCGCAGTGGATTTCAGTATCCAGGTTCTGAGCTCTGGCTCGTGGCCGTTCCAACAGTCTTGCACGTTCGCTTTACCATCTGAGGTGAGATGCTCAGACGCTTAACCCTGTAATTCTCCAAGCCCTTCACACCCTTCCACAAGCTGAGAATAATGTGTGATTACACTTCCATTTGATTATAGTTTTTCAACGCCTTTGTTTGTCACAGTTGGAGCGGAGTTACCAAAGATTTACAGCTTTTTATGGAAGTAGACACAGCGGGCGGAAGTTGACATGGCTTTACCACCTATCCAAAGGGGAGCTGGTCACCAACTGCTTCAAGAACAGATACACTCTGCAGGTTTGTCTTCTTCGTGGCTGCATCATGTCAGTGGTAATTCATAGCATGTAAGGCTGTAGGACATGTTTGTTTGTGTGTGTCGTGTCCCCGCAGGCCTCCACCTTCCAGATGGCCATCCTGCTCCAGTTCAACACAGAGAACAGCTACACCGTCCAGCAACTGGCCGACAGCACACAGATCAAAATAGTGAGTGCAGTGCCATTGCTTTATATCCCCATCTCATTCACATAAATCAATCAGTGAACTTTGATCTCCATCTCATATCAAATTCATACTCGGAACAAAAAGAAACAGTAACAGAAACAGCAATTACATCTATGTGAAGTCCCACTAGTTAAAGTCCCCATGAAATCAAAATGTAAGTTTTTTTGGGTGTTAGTATCAATATGTTAGTCTTAAAGGGGTCATATGATATTGCTAAAAAGAACATTATTTTGTGTATTTGGTGTAATGAAATGTGTTTATGCGGTTTAAGGTTAAAAAAACACATTATTTTCCACATACTGTACATTATTGTTTCTCCTCTATGCCCAGCCTTTCTGAAACTGTCTTGTTTCATGTCTGCATTTGTGATCGGAGAAATGACAAACAAGCCCTACTCTGTCGCTTTTACAACGAAACAGCGTCACACACGGCGGCCTTGAGTGAGGAACGGCCGGAGGGCTTGAGAACGGACGAAGGAGCGTCCAGAGTGCTTGCAGCAACCACATGTGACGAACCCGGGCTGGACTCCGCTTCGTCCACGGTGAAAGCCGATCTACAGCGTGAAGTTGATGTATTTCCTCAGTGATCAGCATGGATCAGCTCCAGGCATGACAAAGCGGATATCGTCCTCTTTTGGAAGACCAAACAAAGTAGTTTCAGTTTCGTCACTTCCGCCAAAACGGCTCAACGATTTTTTTTTTTTTGACGTCACGTCGTACTTCAACTTCTCATCAAACTTTCTGTCCAATCAAATGCTCTCTAGAATCCGAAGCGCCCGCCCCCTACACTATAAAATAGATGATGAAGCGCGGCAGAAATCGGTCTTTTGTCCACAGAATTACTATTTTCTGTACAGTGAATGGCACGTAGTGCACTATATAGGGGACAGGAAACGATTCGAACAGTGTAAATATGCTTTCCATTGAGGAAAAAAAGAAGTCTGGTTTGGCGCTGTGTCACGCTAACCACCGCACCGCACACACACTCTGCTCCGGTCCAGAGACACGATAGCACGGAGCGGATCACATGCGCTAGTCGGCGCAGACCACAAAATGTATCGGAGCTATTTGAATTCTACACAGAATGCTATATTTTATAGCAATATGGATGAGATTTTGGCTGGCAATACCCTGTCAAATGCGGCTTTACGGAGCTCAACGGCTCTGACTGAACGGTTCTAGTCCAAGCTGTGATATAAACGAACGCTATTGGCTATTTTAAAAAGGGGCGGGGCTGCTTGATATGTCCCGCCCTGTCTTCCTGTTTCAGTTAAAATGACGTCAACGCATAGAATTAACGCTGCCTGTTTCTAAGCACTTCAGGGAACCTGTAAAAATCACTTGAACCCTTTTATGCTCTGCTGGAAATCCTTTAGCTAATTTAATGTTCCCGGTCAAAAATGACCAGTGTTTTTAAAATTGCTTGTCAATCTCTCATTATGCTATGACCATACTATGCTATTACCATATCTTAGTTTCAGTCTTTTTGTCAACTTGTTTTCTTACAAAAAGTAAGCACTTGTACCATGGATGAAATTAGTCCGTTTTAGTCCAAAGCGATAACATTAACATTAACTAGTATTTTCAGAAAAGAGAAAATCCTCAGTGTGAGGTTTAACATCAAATTAAATATCGATTATTTTTGGTCAACTTGAATTATCCAAAACAAGTATCAGTCTGGATATTACTTAAGTCATTTTAGCAATGTTTTCAAGTTTTGTGTGTGCTTTTTGTTATAAATTAAGTTTTTAAATTGTAATTTTTTTCCAGGATATTTTGGTTCAGGTCTTGCAAATCCTGTTGAAATCAAAGTTGCTGGTAAGTGTTGAGAACTTGTTGCTTATAGGACCCTATAAATGTCTTTCAACATCAGTGCTATTTATATTATATTTGCTCTTTGTGTTAGATTCTCACATTTGGAAGTAATTTGATTACATCTTGATTCAAAATCATGAGCGTGAATCACCAAATTAGACTTGATTAAATTTCAATATTTGCTCTTTGTGTGTGCTTAGTTTCCATGCGATTCCCTTAATTGTTCACATTTCTGTTTAAACATGTTTTTGTGAATAATTTTATATTAATAATGCAATTTAAAGATTTAGACATACCTTGTTTTTTTGTTTCCTTTTTGTAGGTCTTGGAGGATGAGAATGCAAATATTGATGAAATGGATTTCAAGCCTGATACATTAATCAAACTTTTCCTGGGCTATAAGAAGTAAATGCATTTTATTACTGCTTCATGGTTGATCTCCACAGTATACACTAACAATTGACTATCAACACAGATAACATTTTAAAACAGTGCATAGTAATATTTTCGAATATTATGTTAGGTTCGCATTTTTGTCATCTAGACTGTTCTGTCTGCAGTAAGAAGTTACGGGTGAATATCAATGTGCCAATGAAGACCGAGCAGAAACAAGAGCAGGAGACGACACACAAGAACATTGAGGAAGACCGGAAGCTCCTCATACAGGTATTAAAACTAAACTTTAGTAGTCCTTTGAAGTTGAAATAAAATATGCTTTTGAATCTACCTATTTTGTTGTGTGCAGGCAGCTATCGTGAGAATCATGAAGATGAGGAAAGTTTTAAAGCACCAGCAGCTTTTGGCAGAAGTGCTGAACCAACTTTCTTCACGATTCAAACCTCGTGTTCCTGTCATCAAGGTAACAGAACTGCAGTGCTGTGCAATTCTGACTACTTATGAAATATTTAAATTATTTTTTTTCTCTTTTTTCAGAAATGCATTGACATTTTGATAGAGAAGGAATACCTGGAACGTGTGGATGGGGAAAAAGACACTTACAGTTACTTGGCTTAACAATGTCCTCTGAAGTTTGACGTCCTTAGATATTTGCCTAAAGTTTTGAGGAATATCAACACAGGATTCTCTCATAAAGATCTCAAGTCATTGCTGCCGAGTAGGACAATGTGACACTGGACTTTTCCCTTTAAACCCAGTCTGCTAAAGCGGCCAGTCTTTGTCTTTAAGCCCTCAAGCTGCTCAGGATTGCCATTTACTTTTTAATGTGTAAATACTGGACATTGAACTATACTCATAGTGGGACCCAGAGTCAGGGTTGCATGCTATTGCCTATCATTATGAAAATACAAAACGCTGATTAATTTAATTGTAATTATGAGTTTTGGAAAACTGACAGATTTGTTTTTTTTTAAAAGGCTGTTGGTTGCAGACAGAAATACCTATAACTAAGGATACGTTTCAGCAGCACGCTGAGCATAATCATGTCTGACTGGCTGTTTAGAGTTGCATTATTACCAGCCACGAGAGCACCATTTGTATAGTACAGTTCATTTTATAAATGTCATGAATAAACAATTTTTCTTTTTGCTTTTTCAGTGCTAGGTTTTCTCATTTATATACTTGCTCTGAATTTCTAGCTTAAACAGTACAGCAGACAATTATTTTCAATATTTATTTTATCACGTTTAACAAGTCCCTGTAAACAATTGAACAGCACCTTGTAATCGGAGGCATGGAGATGGAGTGGTCAAAAACCCTCAGTAAAGAAAGAGTAGAAACGAGGTTCAGAGAAACATGAATTAAGAGGAGCAAAACAAAAAATATCAAGCTCCTAAGAAGTAACTCCCTAATATTCACTAGACAAATCACAGCAAATGATAGCCATCAATAAATTATAAAACTTGTTTACACGCATAAAATAAATAGGGGACTTCTGGAGTCAAGCCTGGTATTATTGCTTTGATGTTACAGTATCCCACGTTCAGAAAAAAAGTGATTTTTTTTTTTCACATAACCAGGGACAAAAACAGCACCTTAATCCAATCTCTTTACATTTAGTGACGTCTAAAGTTCATAGCTGCAACTGTCTGGATAAACATTACAAACCAATGTACAGTGAGGAATGAAGAGTTACCTGATCCCACTCCATTTAAAAACCTTTGTTCATGCATACAATTCGAGTACACCAGTTAACATTTTAGGACATCTAATTCAAGAAAATATTCAGTGTTCTTTAAACATCTCAAGGCACCGCAATAATATGGTGAGTCTACCCTCACATAAATCACCAAGTTGTTTTGTTTTTACAACAACGGTGCATTGGCACCGGAAAATGCATTTAACACCTCTGCACCATGGTTCTGGAGAGATTAACATGCAAAGCAGTGACAGTGGCTTTGGTTTCCACAAAGAACAAAACTTGAAACAATAACTGCATGATATATGTTTTTGCATTACAAACTTACAGCTGGTTTAAATGTGAAATTTGGTCCAAAAGTATAGAGGAAACTGTCAAAATAATTTAAACCAAAATAAAAAACTACAATCCAGATACAAAACAATGGCCCATTATAAAATGGCTCTGTACTAAAACCTCAACTGTAAACATGACAGAATGTTCAAGTTATTATCAGAAAGTGTATCCCAGAGTAAGCCTGATGGTCGAGTTAAAAAAAAAAGGAAGTCTTCAAAATATCACCGTTAAAAACTTTTCAAATAGATGCCCGTGTCCTATAAAACTGTATCTAAACTGGAAATGCATGTGGAGAGAGAATTCCTGAAGAGTGTAAGGCATTTGTTGAAGGAGGTAGATGGCTTTATGGAATTTCCATTTCACGTTCAATACCTACGTATTTCAGAGCATCGGCTTGACTGTATCTAAGAGATGTGTAAACATCAGGTTAGATGATTCAAAAGCCCCTCTCAAAGAAAGAAAACACCTCTACACTTTTTTTTTTCTTTTTTTTTACCTGTAGTCAAAGAACAGTTCCTCTCCAGTCTGTATAGCTCTCTTAGCAAATATGCCAATCCTGTGATCTCCATTAACCATCATCACTGTGAGGACAGACAGGAAGAGACCATGACATCACATTTTACACACGAGATCCTTTTAGTACAAGATTCTGAGTGACTTACCCTTTGCATAGCAGTTGGGGTTCACAGAGTGGTTGGCAAACCTGATCTTGTTTCCTTTCCTAGTTGCATCAACAACAAAATCTGTGGGTGAAAGGTGGGAGGTTGTCAGCTAGTGAGGGGGCATGTGAACAGCGAACGTTTGCGAGAAAAAGGTTAGTTACCATTGTTAAGATTGAACAGGAAGCTGCACATGTATTTGTCATACACCTTGCCTCTGCGGTCTGCCTCATCCTGGGAGATGATCTAGCAGGTAAAAATAGAAACACGTCACATAAAAAGGTATCGTGAAGTCTTGATGTGTTTTTTGGGGGGGGGTTATACATCTCACCTCCCCACAGTACTCGGAGATGAACTCGTTTTTCTGAACAGGCTCTTTGATGAAAATTCCCCATCCAGCCACATCAGACGGAGCCAGTAGCAAGTGCTTTAAAAAAAATGTAATACAAAAAAGGTGGCATAATTAAGCAAGACTATTAATGTTTTGTTTTGCATTTATCTTCATACTGATGCGTGTCAGATTAAAATGTACCTTCTTTGCTCCTCTCTGAATACTACAGTTCTTGCAGGAGACGTTTTTACTGTCCCAGTGTTCAGCCGCCCCACAGGTGAGGCACAGGTCAGGGTCACACTCTCGTACGGCCAGGTAACAGGGACACTGCTTGGTGTTACACTGAGCCTTACAGCGGCAGCCTGGAAACCGGTTCTGACCTGTACAGATAGAAAAATCCAGTTCAAAACAACTCCTGCATCCAGACCTGACCATTTCAAATCAATCACAGCTGTTATAAAAGCAAACACTTCATATGAATGCAATAACTTCACCTTGGTTATAAAAGTTACATATTAACTACATTCAGTGCTATCATTAAACGCAAGAGTTCTGCGGAAAAACTCTTCTACAAAAATAACTGATAAAAAAACAGTATAGGTCAAAATGAAATGTTTTTTATTGCCATCACGTTTAGAGAATAAGTGATTACTCCATCTTCCTCTTTTCAAGAATCTTTAACTGTTTTGGTGTAAACTGGTTGTCACATTGATTTGGCATGCCTGAGCTGCCTGATAGGTGTTGGTCTATGTGTGTGTCTCTATATACACTAGGGATGTCAACGATTTATCGGCGATTAATTGTTAACAAGCGATGTAATCGATTAAAGCTATCGATGGTCGATTAAGCAATTTCATTATGGGGTTTGTGCTGCTCATGCGCAAAACACATGCAAGTGGCTGTAAGTGATGGTTACGGGGCTGGATATTTTGCGAAAGTAATTCACTCATGTACAAACTGATCCGAACTTTAAAAGTACATTAAAATGGAAACAATGCAAAGTCCTTCAACATGGAAAGCAACAAAAATTTAATAAGTCTTGTTTTCCTAGATAATTGTTTCATATTGAGCTCTGCGCTTTGACAGGGCTGTGGGACACGAGCAGGACAGAGCCCATATATATATATATATATGTGTGTGTGTGTGTGTGACCCTGGACCACAAAACCAGTCATAAGGGTCAATTTTTCAAAATTGAATGAATCTGAATAAGCTTTCCATTGATGTGTGGTTTGTTAGGATAGGACAATATTTGGCTGAGATACAACTATTTGAAAATCTGGAATCTGAGCAAAAAAAATCTAAATATTGAGAAAATCGCCTTTAAAGTTGTCCAAATGTTCTTAACGCATATTACTAATCAAAAATTAAGTTTTTATATATTTACAGTAGGAAATTTACAAAATATCTTCATGGAACATGATCTTAATATCCTAATTTTGACACATACAATGTATTTTTGGCTATTGCTACAAATATACCCCAGCAACTTAAGACTGGTTTTGTGGTCCAGGGTCACATATA